TGCGGCTGATAAATGACAAAGTTAAAGGAGGGAAACAATGTGAAGCTGAATAAAGGAGGCTGAGGAGCAACCAGCTGCTCTCCTGCTGATCATTAGTGACATTCCATTAAAGCTGCTTCCTCCATGATGACGGTTGATCTGAACTTTTCACTGAATTAAACCGAGAGGCGCTGAGCTGAACATCTCTCTCTCTCTGGTTCGGTTCCTCGCTTCGCTCCTGAAGTACGGGACATGGAAACCCTCGGCAAAGACCGGCGGGTGAGGAGGGGGGTCAGCATCACCTTCCCTCGGGTCGCTCCGGCGCCTTTTGTCAAAGCCCCGCCCACCGCAGGGCTGCAATGATGTCACCAACAGGTTCATCAGACCCATCCAATCAAACACCTATCCGCATGTTGGCGTTAATCGGCTCCACTGGCCTGAAAGGATTTTGGAGAATCTGAGGGTCAAAGGTTAAAGAAGAGGTGATGAAGACGCACAGGAGGCCATGAAAGCAGAGACCTTCCTGACCCACAGGAACATCCCTGCTGAGCTCAGACTGATCCGGTCTGGACGTCACTTCATGAAGAATCTGGAGATTCAACCAGAAGCGATAAAAATAGGATGAAATTCGTCATTAAGGTGATTAAATTTAGGACTGAATGAGCTGCTTGTTCTTAACTCCTATATATAAAATATTTCATCTGCCGGGATACAGGTTATGGAAACAAGTTACCAACTTCCTGATTTAAAACGGTACAAATATAATAAACGTATTTAACGGTAGGAACATTAATAAAAAGCTATAAAACATTTCAGTGTATTCTCATTATCAGTTCGCATGAAATCGTACAAAAAGTTATGCACAGTATTTCGTACGTTTTTGACGTTTTTTCCGTCGTATTTTGTCGTATTTTTACGTCAAGATATCCGTCCGCATGCGCATCTTACGCAGCATTCAATAACATAAAATTTAACATACAATCAACCCGAACCCGAAGATAAAAACCAGCAAGCAACCTAGTGAGAGACATCAAGAAGTAATTATTGCACTGTCCGTCCCAGTTTTACGTCCGTCGGCCGATCTGCTTTTTTTGTCTGTCTGGCTGCGAATGCGCACTGAAATGTTTTTTCGAGGAAAAGCGTCAAAAACGTACGAAATACTGTGCATAACTTTTCGTACGATTTCATACGAACTGATAATGAGAATATGTTGAACATTCACCGCTGCTGTTTCTCGTCTTTTTATTCTGATTTCAAGATGGTCAGACATTCAGGGACATAAGCGCCACCAACTGGTGAGGAGGGACATCGTTTTATTCCAAAAAGTAAAAAATAAACTTTGTTTCCAAGATTGAAGACGTTTCTCTTCCATCCAGGAAGATTTTTCAATTCCAAATGTCAGAAATAGCGTTTAGTTCCAGGTTTTATCCAGCAGCCCAACAAAGCCTGGTTTTAGTTTAGAAAACATGCAAATAGAAATGGATGAACGGGTCCCCCCCTTTGGAATGGGGGTCGTTTGGCTTCTTTGTTAGCCTGCAATGCCCCATACCTGTCTATGTCTCTGAAAGGGGGGTCGTTAGAGGGAATAGTTGGTCTGGCTGAACAGGTGAGGTCTTCTGTTCTCCTGTAAAGGGGTTGGAGCTGCGATGATAGCGGGAAGGAATCAACTCTATCGCTGCATTGGAGGTTTTTGAAAGCTGGAATCAAAAACATCATTTTGCAACATATTCTCATTATCAGTTTGTATGAAATCGTACGAAAAGTTATGCACACTATTTCGTACGTTTTGGACGTTTTTCCTCAAAAAACCACATCAGTGCGCTGGCAGACAGAAAAAAAAACAGATCCGCGGAAGGACGTAAAAATGGGAAAAACAGTGCAATCACCCCTTATTCATGTCTCTAACTATGTTGCTTGCTGTTTTATATCTTAGGGTTAGGGCTAATTTATATTCTATATTTGTGAATGGTGCATCAGATGTGCATGCGCATACGACGAAAAAAACGTGCAAAACGTCCAAAATTACGGTGCATAACTTTTCGTACCATTTCATATGAATTGATAATGAGAATAGGTTGCATTTTGAAATGAAAAATCTTCCTGGATGGAAGAGAAACGTGGAAGCAAAGTCCAGCGGATTGATTTTAACTTTATTAGAATGACTCTGACCTCGATGACTGAGAATCTTCCCCGGCAGTTTTAATTAGGCGCTGTAGATTTTTCTTTTTCAAAAAACCTTTATGGTTCCACTTCAGTAAAGTTAGAAAGATATTCACAGATTCGGACTTCCGGGATCAATAACTCTCACACGAAACGTTGTTGAAACACAAATGACGCATCTTTCATGTCCTGATAGCACAGACTCTGAACTACAACAGTCAAAAAGCGTTATTTAAACGAGCCGTTCTCTGAGCTGGATGTATTACATTGATCTCTATGCACAGGCAGCGGCCAGGCGAGTGGTTAGGGACCGTCTGCAAATGGTAAAACAACAGAAAAACGTTGCAAATAAAAATCATTAACTCCACTGCCATAAAGTGCAGGGACTCCAAAATCACCACACAGAACAAGGGGCTCTTGGTGATCGCACTACAACAGCTGTTTTTGAAAAAAAATACACTTTTTTTATTATTTAGAATTTTCTTATTGTTATTAACCATTAATATCATCCTATTTTGATCAATAGCTCTGTGATTATATAGTGAACACAGTATAATTATTATACAGTGTTTTTTTTTTTTTTTTTTTTTTTTTCAAAAACAGCAGTTGTAGTATGTTCATCTGGAGTCCCTTGTTCTGTGTGGCGATTTTGGAGTCCCTGCACTTTATGGCAGTGGAGTTAATGATTTTTATTTGCAACGTTTTTCTGTTGTTTTACCATTTGCAGACGGTCCCTAACCACTCGCCTGGCCGCTGCCTGTGCATAGAGATCAATGTAATACATCCAGCTCAGAGAACGGCTCGTTTAAATAACGCTTTTTGACTGTTGTAGTTCAGAGTCTGTGCTATCAGGACATGAAAGATGCGTCATTTGTGTTTCAACAACGTTTCGTGTGAGAGTTATTGATCCCGGAAGTCCGAATCTGTGAATATCTTTCTAACTTTACTGAAGTTATGGTTCCCATCCCACTGTCAGGTCATTCCCACTGTCCGGTCATTCCCACTGTCCGGTCATCCCCACTGTCCGGTCATTCCCACTGTCCGGTCATTCCCACTGTCAGGTCATTCCCACTGTCCGGTCATTCCCACTGTCCGGTCATCCCCACTGTCCGGTCATCCCCACTGTCCGGTCATTCCCACTGTCCGGTCATTCCCACTGTCAGGTCATTCCCACTGTCCGGTCATTCCCACTGTCCGGTCATCCCCACTGTCCGGTCATTCCCACTGTCAGGTCATTCCCACTGTCCGGTCATTCCCACTGTCCGGTCATTCCCACTGTCCGGTCATTCCCACTGTCAGGTCATTCCCACTGTCCGGTCATTCCCACTGTCAGGTCATTCCCACTGTCCGGTCATTCCCACTGTCAGGTCATTCCCACTGTCAGGTCATTCCCACTGTCCGGTCATTCCCACTGTCCGGTCATTCCCACTGTCAGGTCATCCCCACTGTCCGGTCATTCCCACTGTCAGGTCATTCCCACTGTCCGGTCATTCCCACTGTCCGGTCATTCCCACTGTCAGGTCATTCCCACTGTCCGGTCATTCCCACTGTCCGGTCATTCCCACTGTCCGGTCATTCCCACTGTCAGGTCATTCCCACTGTCCGGTCATTCCCACTGTCAGGTCATTCCCACTGTCCGGTCATTCCCACTGTCAGGTCATTCCCACTGTCCGGTCATTCCCACTGTCCGGTCATTCCCACTGTCAGGTCATTCCCACTGTCAGGTCATTCCCACTGTCCGGTCATTCCCACTGTCAGGTCATTCCCACTGTCCGGTCATTCCCACTGTCAGGTCATTCCCACTGTCCGGTCATTCCCACTGTCAGGTCATTCCCACTGTCAGGTAATTCCCACTGTCCGGTCATTCCCACTGTCCGGTCATTCCCACTGTCAGGTAATTCCCACTGTCAGGTCATTCCCACTGTCCGGTCATTCCCACTGTCAGGTAATTCCCACTGTCCGGTCATTCCCACTGTCCGGTCATTCCCACTGTCAGGTCATTCCCACTGTCAGGTCATTCCCACTGTCCGGTCATTCCCACTGTCAGGGGATTCCCACTGTCAGGTCATTCCCACTGTCAGGTCATTCCCACTGTCCGGTCATTCCCACTGTCAGGTAATTCCCACTGTCCGGTCATTCCCACTGTCAGGTCATTCCCACTGTCAGGTCATTCCCACTGTCCGGTCATTCCCACTGTCAGGTCATTCCCACTGTCCGGTCATTCCCACTGGAAATTCAGCCACTTGCAGATCTTTGGGGCTACTGGTAGGACCTGACCGGCTGAGGCCTTAATTACAAGTTTTCTTTGGGTTAAACCAACAGTTGGTGTCAAACACTCAGCGCTACTGTAGGGCACAGATTATTTTAGGAGGTGCACAGAGGGTGGGGGTCTGTGTGTGTGGGGGCGGGGGGTCTGCTCTTTGGACTTTAGAAAAATGAGTTAGATTGGGGATGAATGGCCAATTGAGGAGTTTTGTGTTGGTTTAAAATGTGGTGGAGTGATGGAGCAGATTAAATGGAGCCACATGGAGGTAATTTAAGGACTCCAGTTTGATTTTCATCAGAATAAAACCCGCGGATTTAGCGGCGGTCATCGGGTTTAGAGCAGCGCGCTGATGTGATAAGAGGATAAAAATGATGCCTCTGCACGATCTCATTAGTTTATGGCCGTTTGAAAGAGTTGTTGTGACTGCCTGATCCATTGTGTCCATAACCCAGACGGGATTAAGCTCAGGAATAAAATGTAATCCCTCAGGATTGATGTTGGGTCTTCACCTCACCTGCTGCAGGGCTTTCCTGGAATAAAGGTGAGGGGGTTCACGCAGGGGTCGCCTCAGCCACGCGCATTGAGTTCTTATTACCTGATTCTGCAAAGCTGATGATCTCCGAGGTCTCTGCCTGCGCGTCGCTGCTGAAGGTGGCCTGGCCGTCAAAGTTGGGGATCTCCACCCGGCCGTCCTCTCGCACTTTCCCGGCGTGCAGCCTCCGCAGCGCCGTCACCATGGCAGCCTTTGGGATTGGGTGCGTGATGTTGGGCCTGTCCCGCATCTGCAGCCGGTTCAGGATGTGTCGCTTCACCGCCTCCACGAAGTCGATGTTGACGCGCTCCGACTGATCCGGCGCCCTGAGTCCGCAGGAGGCGCACGACTCCCGGGGAGGACTGGAAGCCTCCTCTGCGCTGCCGCGCGCGTACATGACGCACAGCATCAGTGACAATCCCAAACTATAGAGGCTCATTTTGCCGCAAAGCTTTTCCTCCAATAAGAGTCCAGAGTTGGTTTATTGGAAGACAGAAATTAAAGCTGCATCAACGCATCTGCAGGTTCTGTTGCTCCAGCAGAGACACCTGCAGAAATCCACTAAAACCCAAAACCTGCAGGGAGATCCGCGGGAAGCGCCTCTACCTTCCTCCGCTCATCACGCAGCGCCGATCCGCAAATTTAGCGTCAATCTGTGGATCGGTGAGAGAGGCAGACTGCGGGTCCATCCAGCTCTTTCATCCACGAAGCCGGTCAGGAGGTCCGCGTCTGGAGCCGCTTCCTCTCCCGTGTTTCTTTAGTTGTTGTTTTTTTTTCTGTAGTGTGCGCGTGCCCGGTGCGCGCTGTCCCCGTGCGTTTTTAAACTTCCAGGTCCGGCTGCTCACTGAGACCCCACGGCAGGGGCTTCCACTGCCAAAGTTTTTATACACTGAAACCACGTGGGATTTCCACCCACAGGAGGGCCGATCAGAGCCGCGACGTCTTCAGGGAAGCAGCCGCAGCTCAGAGCGTCTTCCGGCCCCAAACCCTGCACGGTTACGTCATTTACACTTTTCGCTTCATCACCTTTGCTCTTTTTTCACCTTTTCTTTTCTTTTTTTTATTCAAACGGGGTTCATGTAGAAACTCGCTGCTTAGGATGAGAAAGTCTGATTTTCTTACAGCATATTTTACTTTATTTTATTAAATGATTAATAAGTTTCAAACTCTGCAGAAATGTTCAAACTATAAACATTTATTTATAGTAAATTAAACTTGGTCAGAAGTTTGAAGGTTGCGCTTCTGTTTAATAGTAAACAAGCAGCGCCATCTAGTGGCAGCGGGCAGCATCACACCCCTCCCTCCTTCAGGTGGAACCAACGTCTGTAGAAGCTGGAAGCTGATTGGCTGCAGCCTCTGACACGTGGTCTGTAGCTCAGCGCTGGGAAGCTGCTGCAGAGGAAGGAGGAGAAAGAACCCGCGGCGGCGCAGAAATTAAGGGCGCCATCTTGGGGAGGTCGATGCTGATTGTCCGTTGGTAGTAAGGGGCTGAAGTGAAGCCACCGGCCGCCATATTGGTACTCCCTAGTTAGAGCGGTCTCAATGTAATCAATCTGTTTTCTCTACAGCATCGAACAATGATGACGTTCTCCTTTCCAGGGGGAATTAAAACTTTTAAAATAAAGATAAATTAATCACTTTGCCACACACTGGCTGTTTCAAAGCATCAGTAGATTTACTTTAACTTAGAATTAAAACAAATAGGCCAATTACATCACATTGTCATTATGCAGTCATTAAAGTCTATACATCATCTAATATAACATATTATAGAAATCAATCACAATAAAATAATGTGTTAATGCAGCAGAATAATACAGATGAGCCAAAAGTGCTGAATTGATTATTTACATGTAATATACATGTATTTATCATATTGTTATGGTAATTACATAATACATGTCTGGTAATGCATGCTATATATACCCTGCTGAAAAAAACAGCAAAGACCAGCTGTGGTCATTCCAGCAAGACCAGCTTTTGTTGCTGGTTTTGCTGGTGTTGCTGGTGGTGGTCCTGATGATGATGTTTTATTGGACTAAAACACATCATCATCTGATCTGGATGCTGGTGATAGACCAGCATCCATTCTAATCCACACAGTATCAACGTTTTTTGTTTTTTTTGCATTCACATTTTCAAAGAAAAATTGGGTTTAATTTGTTAAAATGTATTTAACAACATTAAATAATGAATATTATATCAGCTTAGTCTTTAGAGTCTAGTTTATGGAGTTATGGAATTGTGTTTTCAGAAACATTTCAACATTTGTAAAACGCGTACTATCTAAAAAAAAACAAAGGCTAAATGCAAGATATCAGTTATTCAGATATCTGTATATAGCACACAGTATACAGTAGGGTTATCACGATAATAAACTTTTCAACTCGATACCGATACTAAGGAAAATATTCGAAACTCGATACCATTTTCGATACCACAAGGATAAAAACAAAGACTCCAAAATTCTACAGAAATATTTTCATTAAGAAATAAAATACAATAAAGGTTGTAATAAATGTTCAATTTGCAGCAATTGGGATTCCATGTTCCGTTTTTGTCGGGTCCCATCATCTCCTGTGGGGGTTGAAGGGGAAAGATGTGGCTCATTTTTGTTGGGATCTGGAAATCTTTCCCATTATAAGTTTTACTTTTAAATTAGCCTTTTTCACAGGGGCCATGGCAATCTTCTTTATTGTCATAATTTGAATATATATGTTAGCAACCTAACAAATGTTGTAAAATTTATTCCAGAGCCTCTTCTGCATTGTTAGTATTAAAGAATGTTTTTTTTACCTGTGTATTTCCTACATTTTTTACATAATCCTTAATTATAATTGGCAAATAGGGGGGGGCAGCATCTTTGAAGCCTGTTAAACGGATGCACTCACATCTCTCAGTGCCCTGCTCATTCACAACAATCAATGTACAGCATGTCCATGGATCTGTCAGCAGCCGTCCAAAGAGTGTCCTCACCTGATCAAAAAGAATGGTTGATATAATGTCTCAAGCTATTTTTGATATTTTGCAGCATGCAAATGCACAAGAGACCTTCCCTGGAGATAATTTGCACATTCTATCAGACTACAGTGATGAAGATATCCCAGGATTCATTGCGAGACCAAGCAAGCTGTGATCAGAGGAAAGGTTACTTGGCGCCAAACAGTGGGGAAAATTGGAAGTTCAGTTTAATATAATCCAGTCTGTGAATAGTTCCGTCTGAAATGAATGAAAATAGTTGTTTTAATGGTTATAGAGTCAGATATGTGGCGTAATGTTTGATTTATCTAAAGGTTTTAATCTGTTACTGTGTAAATGTTTGGCTGGAATTTAAGGACAGATTCTAATAGATCTGCAGGGTGGGGACTATAAATCTGATAGGAGTTTAATTTTTTCATTGCTGTTTTGCACAATATGCTTAAAGGTATTTTGTTGTTGAATATTAGAGATTTTGCAGATATATTTTTTGTAAATACATTGTTTAGATTTACTTATATCTTTCTACCCCTTTTATAGAATAGAATAGAAAATCCCTTTATTGTCCCACAATGGGCAAATTTACAGCAGCAGAAAGATTATTGAAAATGGTCACACAAATGAGGACCGTAGAAAAATTTATAAGAATAAATAATAGGGAAGAGTTAAAATATAAAAAATAAAATCCTGTAAAGTGTTTTAACAATATAAAACTGGGGAATAAATAACCAATATGCAGCTATGGACATTTTTACAATAATGGATATTTGAAAATAGCAGCAACATCAGAGATGTGCAGAATGACAGCAGCAGGTTATTTAACTGACTAAGGTTTCTATCATTACATTTGATTTGATTGGTTCCTGCTGCCGGTGGTTGGAACCTTTATACCACTCTGGATTCTTGTGAGTGTAGTCTTTGTTCACTTTGTTTATTTATTTATTTTTTTAAAGTTAAACAGTTTTGAAAACCATTCATTCTTTTCCTGCTTTGTGTGTCAACTTTCACGGTTGCTAAGCAACAGAGCCGACAGTTAAAACCCACGGAAGGGTAGACCTGTTCGAATTCACAGCCAAAACTCTTCCAGTCTCCTTATTTTCAAGGACTTGGAGGATCCAGTCCAGGATTTCCTTCATAAACCGTAAGTTTTGGCATTTCTTGTTTTTGGGTGAGCTGTTCATGCTAGTTTGTAGAGTGTTGTAATTAATATCCGCATAGGACGCTTGCGTTTATAGCTTGTGGTTACCGCGGTTGCCATGGCTACCGCGGTTGCCGTGGTTAATCAAACAGTAATTAACAGCAATAACTTTTCCTGCCGTGTAAAAATGGATATGAGGCTTCTAGTTGGATAATCTGCTTTATATTACTGTAGTACATTTCTGTAGTAGTGTTTAGTTAGCCATGTGTGTTCATATATTATTAGCCGTGCTCTGCTATTAATTATTTACAGAGGCGGTTCTAGAGTCTATGGGGGCCCCAGAGCAAAAAATCCTAGGGGGCCCTACCGACCAGTGTTCATCACCATTATGTTAGGCTATAAATAATCTGACACCAACGAAAAATGTATTAAATAAAACCTTTTTTTATTCCAAATGTTCTAAACATGAACAACCTTGTTATTTTGGAAAATATAAAAGTATAAAAGTAAATAATAAATTAAAATAAATGTATAATAAAATAAAAAACAGTGTCGTGGGAAAGAAGTATTCAACTATTTATCCTAGTTAAATAAACGGAGATCGATGGATTTCACTCAGTCGGCACATTTATTAATCATCTTTGCAAAGAGAGAACAGTCATCATGGCACAGCATTCTGCTCTGTTCTGATCTGGGCAGGGTTCGTTCCCCCCTAGTTACAACAATGGAAAGCAGTCAGAGTCATAACAAATTACACACACTTTGCTTAACAGTAACATGTTATGAATAAACCTTGAGAAAGAATCTGGATTGTTATGGGAAGAAGCTATGTCTGGTCTACAAACAACATTCTGCAGGGAATGGTGTGGCCTTGAGAGAGAAACAGACTGAGTGAAAACTTTTATAGTGAGTAAATATGAATATTAATATATAATAGGAGAAAGATATAAATTTTCACCAGCCTCTCATCCATACGAAGCCGGCGTTTCGGGGGTCTGTAAACAATCTTTTTTTTATTCAGCCTTCAGAGTGGGAGGATTCTGAAACGCCGTTTTCGCGTTTCCATCTTTAAGCTCTGACCGCATTTTTTTTCTTACACGCATGCAGGGCCGGTTGCAGCCCTTTGGTTGCCCTAGGCGAGATTGAGTTTTGCGCCCCCCCCCCCTCCCCCCCCCCCCCCCCCCCCCCCCCCCCCCCCCCCCCCCCCCCTCCTCACTTTTGCCATACGTAATACCAGTACTGTTTTTAGCATCTGTTTAGTGCTTCATTGAGTTGTGTTTACAGTTCCACAAAGAGTGCTGTGCGGTTAATTGTGCCTACAGTTGGGCAAAGTGTGTGTTACAAAATTGCAAATTGAGTGCAAAGCAGTGTTTGTTCTTTTAGTTTTGTGAACTCAGTGAGTGGATTTGCTATAAGTATTAATAGTTTTAGAAATTGTGCTATAAGCATCAAGGTTGTGTTTAAGCATTCAGAAAAAAACTGTAACTTAGCATGGAGTGATGCATAGACAAATACCAGAATAGGTTTCAGTACCTTTTCTTTTTTATTATTTTAAATAATTTATTACGCACTCAAAGTTAGGACTGTGCAAAAACACTTTTAACCATCTGTAAGGACACTTAGGTAAAGTATAACTAAAAAACTGGATTGAATCAATGAATTATTTTATTTCAGACAATTAACAAATTTAACACACATTAAACAAATATTAAATAAATCAATTTCAGAAATTACCAAATAACAATAAAAAAATAATAAATTTAAGAAATTGTTCAACCAAGGACTACAAGTAATTGATAAACATTAAATTAAATTTTCTGTTCCAGTTCAATTAAATCATTTGAACATAAATAGAAATG